ATCCCTAGTTTAAGGACACTTTCTTATACTGTCTTTCACAGAGCACACAGTTAGGGGTTTCTTGCTAATGAGTTTATTTGATTTAGCTCTTCACTTTGACTCCCATATGGTTTGGATAAAGGAAGTGGTCTCCAAGGACTGTGGTTTGATAATTCCACCTTTAAAACAGTGAGGATCTTACAGGACCAATGACTTTATGTTCACAATCATGTGCTCAATCAAACCCCAATCCTTAAAACAGAGGGTTTATAGATACTATGCTCTAAGTCTCTGGTGAGATGATGACTCATAAAATCAGAGCCTTTCCATTTCACACACGTGCTACCTATTATATTCTAAGGACGTAAATGCTAACAGGAGGAATCTGAAAGTCAAGGGAAACCTCCCTGCTTATTGTTGCTTCAGGTTTCCTTTGATTAGTGTTCAGGAAACCAAAAGAACAAGAACCATTTATTTTAAAGGGCAGAACATGGAAACAATGGTCTGGCAGCGTCGTCTGACTGTCATGTTTGTGATTGGCAGGCGAAGGTTACTCACATTTAGCTGCCCTCATTTCTTGTAAATCCAAGAAGTATAATTTCCTTTTTCTTTTGGTAAAGGCGGTTCTCTAACTTAAACGTATTCCAAAACAGGCCCTACACCCCAACTGCGAGCTCACACAAGACACACAGATTTTAAAAATGGCTTTTTGAATATCTGCATACATTTGAGTCTCTGGGACCTTTGGATCTGTGGCCTGAAACAGTCATAGGACATCAGGATAGTGTGTGCAACTAGAAGGCCATATCTTTGAAATTCACTCAAATCAAATATTAAAAGACAGTAACACAGTTTTTTTTTTTTTTGGCTAAATGTGGAATGTGAAAGTGGACTTGTCATAATTCAGGTGAAATGGCTGTTTAAGATGTGCATGACTGGATTTGTGGTAGAATCAAAGGGACAATTTAAAATCTGGAAGATGCTGGCCTCAGCACTGTCCCTCATGATGAGCAATAAAAGAACTCATTTCGTATCTGTTAGGATAAAGAACCGAATAGGTTTCCACCATCACCATTGTTAACAGTCATCTATTTTATTATTACCTCCTACATTAGCACAAAGGAAGTCCAGATTGATGGGATGAGTACTGTCTATAAAACACAACCCAAGTCTATTATAGACCAAAATGAAGCTTTTGGGGTGTGTGTGTGTGTGTGTGTGTGTGTGTGTGTGTGTGTGTGTGTGGGTGGGTGTGTGTGTGTGCTGTGTGTCTGTGTGTCTGTGTGTCTGTGTGTCTGTGTGTCTGTGTGTTCTTTCCTTCTATCATGGGTTCTCAGGGATCAAACTTAGGTCACACATACATACATACATACATACATACATACATACATACATACATACACACACACACACACACACACACAGGACATGAAGTCCGGAGGGGGCGGGATATGTTTTGGGGACCCAGGGGGGAGTTAGAAGGGAGTGAATGAAGGTGGATGATCATATTTCATTTTTAATGTGTATGCAATTCCTAAGAATAAATAAAACTCATAATTAAAATGAGTTAAAGAGTAAATAAAAGTTTAAAACTTTCAAATACATGCATGTGAAGTTTCTGAAAGAGTGAGCACAACTTGTGAATAGTTATTCCCATAGAACTTTTAGTGATCTTTGAAATTTCAAAAAGTATTTTTCAAAAGAAGTTTCAGTAAGTAGAAACTTGGAATTGACAAAAAGGGGGGAAAATAACATTCCTATTTTGATTTGTGAAACCTCGTTCCCAAACCTTCCAGTGTGAGGTTGTACTAAAGTGTTCCTGGATAAATGGAAACCTTTGAGCCAGCTGAAGAAAATAAACACTCTCGGTAGGTGTGTGGTGTTTGGAGAGTTCAAAGCTCAGACAATGTGAAGGGGCAAAGATTATCTCTTTCTCTTTTGCTCAGATTTCCCCTGAACTGGTCTTTATTGTTTTGTCTGAAAAGTCCACTAAAGTACTTCAAAAATCACAAGACTGGTTGGGCATAATCAAGGTCTGCTGTGGGACACTGGTTCAGATGTTTCAAAGTGTCCTTTGAAAGTTTCAAAACCTTTCAAGTTTGGAATCATAATTATTACAGAAGTATCCAAAGATGTTACCATTAAATGTAGTTTGACACAAGAAGACTCTATCTTTTCCTGGGCTCACCTGGGAAAATCTGCTTTCACTCTAGGCTTGACCCATCTTCTCTCTAAAGGCACAGACTCTGTCTTCCAACTCTAGAGAATAAAACTGGGGAAGTACAGAGCGGGTAGAAGCAGCAGCCCTGGAGAAGGAAGAGGTGAGCTGTTTCAGAGGAATATGGGAGGAAAGAAAACCAGCTTGGATATGAAGGAAGTATATGGGAAAG